CATCATAAAGTATGTTCATGTTTATATTAACTGTATATGTTTTCTCCCATGAAGGTTTTGTCAACCCCAATCCAAATATGCAAACATAACACGTCTTCCATAAGTACATTTATCTGTTATCAGGTAAAACAAGTTTATTTTAGATGATCAGATTCATTTATTTAGAAAACTGATTGCATCTCAGTCAACCTTATGTAGAGTTATGCTGTAATTTTACACTCTGTTCAATGGCTGTTGGTTCTTTTAGTCACTCAGTGTCGTGATGTGTTTTGTATGCAATAGATCAGTCACAACAGGAAGGGCAGCATTCTTTCGCCTTCAGTATCTGTTGCGGTTTCTTCATTTTGGTAAAGCAACTCTAAAATAGGCTGCGTGTAAGTGCAAAGCAGGTGACCGTATCAGCCAAACCTGAAAGATCTTTTCCTTGTAAGAATCAGATCAAGTTTTTGCTAATCAAGATAACTGCATATTTCTTCATTATTGCAGAGTTCCTTTTTACCACCCTGATCAGGCTGACTTGACCAATCGCCAGCTGACATTTTCCTCCTCTGTGTGTGTGTGTGTGTGTGTGCCCGTGCCGTGTTACTATGGCAACACCTCAGGGCTGGTGGCATCGAGGCGGACACTAGAAGGTCGATGATTCTGCTGGTGCCATTTGGGGCATTTGCATCACCTTGTGTGAGATTGCCCACATTGCCTACCGTTTTACAGTATGATGCAACATGTAGTCAGAGTGGCTGCACCTCAAATGCTTCATGACAGCTCTCTCTGAAAAGTTTCAAGGTGTTGCCATGTTTTCCTTAAACACTGTATCTTTATCAGAGAGCCAGAAGAGAAGATAGAGAGGGAAGAATTTAGGGCAAATCACATATGGACAGCATCGCCTGCCAAACACTGAACATAATTCACTAATATGATAGTTGCTCTCATGGTCTGGTGCTGTGCTGTGCACACACTGACCTACTAGTACCAGTCTCCTCCAGTTAAAAGTCCTTACTTTATCATGTTAAATAAGGACATACTAAATCAGATTGTTACATGGTTTGCATCAGTTTTGCCTGTGGGAGTTTTGGTGGGAAGCGCTTGGTGGTTGAGGTTGTGTCTTTGGCAGGCGTGAGGGTGGGCAGGTGCAGTCTCGGTTGAAAGAGGAGAAACGCAGCACTATCTGGCACAGGGATCCCCCTCCCAGTGGGAGGAGTGTGAGAGATGGAGGGATTGAGGGATGGGGGGCAACGGAGGAGTGTGACCAAGCTAATTAGTACACTGCCTCAGATTAGACTGATGGAAAAAGGGCGGGACCACCCGTTCCTGAGCATAGAGGAGGATTGTGGAAAGCCAACGCCCCGTATCTGCCCCATATCCAAATTAATATGTTTCGCTAGGAACTGAAATTAATGAAATCAAGTACTTCAAGTTTATCAGCAGCCTTTTAAATTGCAAGCCAGGAATTTATACTTCATAATTAGGGATGCACGGATATAAAAATAATTTATTTTAAATGCTGAAATTAAATTGAAGAATCTCAACATTACAATGTTAAGTATGAAGAATGGATGTTTAAGGTTTCCCCATCTTTTCTGTCAGACGAATGTCTTTGACCTAAAATATTTTACTTGAAGTACCCCCCCCCCCTGAAGTTT